CAAGTTTTGGTCCTAGGATGCTCCAGTGTCAGAACCACAGATAAAGACAAAATTTCTAGGACTTCTCACATTGCCCTTGGCACTTGAGAACCCTGATTGGGAAAACGAGCCTTAAGGCGGTTAAAGTCTTTTTAAGGTTCACAGTCTGACAGAGAGACAACTAGCACGCGTTCTCACTTGTCGCTGAGGACTGTATACACACGGCAGCAGAGTGTGGAATGCTGAACAGTGGCGACTGGGAGGCGATGGGAGGTCGTGGTGGGTGCAGTGTACGTCGCTCCAATGATGGATGCGCTGAAGGCCCCAACTTCACCTCAATGCAAAATATCAATGCGGCAGAGCTGCACTTGTACCCCGTGAACATATACAAATAAAAAATAAATGAAAAATAAAAGAAATGCAGCGTTTTGCTGCCACCCCAGACCCAAAATCAGAATCTGCATTTTAATAGGATCCCTCAGGAATTTTATGCACATTAAAGTTTGACCAACTTCCTTGTCAGTGGAATAAAATCACCTATTACCGCTTACCAAAAAAAAAAAAAATGGTTTACGGCTCTGCAGCAGGACGGTGGCCACGACCTCACCTCGGTGCTCAGCAAGTATTATTTCAAAGGCTTGGAAATTACCGTGACTTTGCTTATAGAAAACTCCGTATTTGCCAACATGTTGATGGAATTCATAAACTGGTTTTTAAAATCAACTTATTTGTGAGGGTATAAGAGCATCGCAGCCCAAAGAAGCAGTGTGTGCGCGCGGGCGCGTGTGCATTTAAGATGTGGACTTCTTCAGAGAATCCGCGGCAGTGCATTTGCTCAAGGAGGACCCCTTCGCGTCTGCAGCAGTGGGCGAAGGCTCTTGTTGAGCAGAGGGGAGTGGGTAGAGCGGGGCTGTGGACTAAGAGCCCGAATGTAGCCATGGCCACAAGCCAACTGTGTGACCTCAGGCTCACTCCCCTCTCTGAGCCTTTGTTGCTGTTATAGGAGGGTGAGTACAGCTGTCTTATAGGATTGTTGCTGAATTGGGAAGGTGGGGGGTGTGCCAGGGGCTCGGCACCGTGGTGGTCGCTGAGTGAGCACCCACTGGCTATTAGGTATTGACCTTGTTACTGCCTAGTTTACAGATTCAGACACTGAAATCTGGGGAGAGGAAAGCACATGACCCCCAAGCAGCCATGTCTGCCTGAGGGACACTTGGGCACAGAGCCCAGGAGTCCTGACCAGCTGCCTTGCCTCCTGCAGATCTCCGGGAAAGTCCTGCCGGTGGCACCACTTGGAAACGAGGTGCCCAGGGTGGTTCCTGAAAGTGCCTGAGCGCCACTTACGAGCGAGAAGGTCACCATGCTGACGGAGTGAGTGCGCTCGAGAAGAGCCAGACAGGGCTGCAGGCAGGCTGCCTGGGGCAGCTGGCTTCCAAGCATGCAGACCCCCTCCCCGGCTGCCCCAGCCGCCCCAGCCGAATTGCCCAGAGAGGCATAGGGACCTGCCCTGGGACACACAGCAATGCCAGATGTCTGCCTCTGGCTGGGGCAGGGATAGGTTTGCAATCGTATTAACATCTCTGCAATCTCTGACTTTGTCCCTTCTCCTTTCCCGACAGAGACATGAAGCTCTGGCATGGCCTAGTGATCGCAGTGGTGTCCATCGTCCTGCAGGCCTGCCTCCTCGCAGCCACCAACTACCTGCTCAGCAGGCGCATGGGTAACCGGCTCAGCATCCTCTCCCCTTGGTCACCCCCACAGGCTGCCTTCCTCCACCCAGATGCAGCTGCTGCAATGCTTACGAGGAAGGGCTCGTTTAAACTGGGCCTAATTAATTTTCTTCCTCACTGCCAAATGCTGAAAACGAAGACATGGTTTTGAATTGCAGCAGAAGGAAATGCAGCTGGATTTAGAGATTGAACTACAGATTGGTTTAAATTCTCAAATTGATTTATAGCAGCAGGTGGAGAAGCTCTGTCTTGGGAAGGCATTGCAATTGGGGAAAATAAAATCGCGCTGCTTTGGCTGTGCTGAGACAGGGGCTTGGGCAAGATGATGTTTTGAGAGTATTTCCGGTAAAGGAAGCCTAGCTTTCTCCATCCGTTCATTCATTCAACTGATATTTATTGACACCTAAGGCACTTTCTGGGCCCGGGCTATACAACAGCATACAGCAGAGAACAAAACGGTGATTCCAGCCCTATGGAACTTTCATTCCATGGGACAGGAAATAAGATAAATAAGTAAAACACAGGTGTGTCAGGCTATGGTCAGTGGTAGAAGGCGAGGAGATATGGACGGGGGCGGCGGCGTCCCTGAGACGCTGACATTCGAGTACCAGCTCGCGGGGCGTGAGGACCGAGTGGCCCCGGCAAAGGCCGGAGGGAGGCGTGCATTAGGCACACGCCGCAAGGGCCAAAGAGGCCGGGAGGCTGGAGCAGAGGGGAAGGCCGAGAGAAGTGGCAGAAAGGCCAGAGAGGAAGGAGGGGTGAGGCCGAGGAGGGCCTCAGGGGCAGGGACTTGGCTTTGACTCCGAGGGAGGCGAGCAGCCCCTGCGGGGCTCTGAGCAGAGCAGGGCTGAGATCGGGAGGGATCCATCCCTCAGAACAGTTGCCCTGCTGAGGGCTGAGCGCGGCGTTCAGAAGGTACTAGATTCAAGAGAGGACGTCTGGCCGGGTGCGGTGGCTCACGCCTGTAATCCTAGCTCTCTGGGAGGCCGAGGCGGGCGGATTGTTTGAGCTCAGGAGTTCGAGACCAGCCTGAGCAAGAGCGAGACCCCGTCTCTACTAAAAATACAAAGAAATTAATTGGACAACTAAAAATACATAGAAAAAAAATTAGCCGGGCGTGGTGGCGCATGCCTGTAGTCCCAGCTACTCGGGAGGCGGAGGCAGGAGGATCGCTTGAGCCCGGGAGTTTGAGGTTGCCGTGAGCTAGGATGACTCCACGGCACTCTAGCCAGGCAACACAGTGAGACTCTGTCTCAAAAAAAAAAAAAGAGAGGACGTGCCCTACCCAAGCAGCTTCCACTTTTGACCTTTGCCCTCTCCCCGCTAGCCCACCAGAATGAACAGAGACTGAAAGGGGCCAGGCTCCAGGCCCCCAAGCCCAGCTCTGCCCACCATCACCCGCCTGCTGCCAAGGAGACGGAGACTCGGACAGAGAGAAACCCCCCTGTGGCTGACCCCCGTTACAGGCGTGAGTGAGGGGATGGGGGAGAACCTGTCTTGAAGCTTATTTTGCTCTGTCTGGACACCCAGGGACACCCCCTCCCCCTGCAGCAATCCAAGTCCATCCCAGCTGGCCCAAACCTCCAGCCTGAGCGCTCCTCACACCTGCACGGGTCCAGGCCCTGCCGGCCCACCGTCTTCAGAAAGGTGTTCAGTCTCTCACATGGGGAGGACCCTGCTGGGTTCGTGTGGGTCTAAGTTCTTTTCCGAGCTTGGTCATGTGCAAACAATTGCAGGGGGGCTTGGAGACTGTCTCTGCCTCTCTCTGTAATACTATGGGATCTTTTCTTCTGCTTGGCCAGCTGATGGTGGAGCTAAAATTCCCACCACCTCCGCCCGCCTCCAGCCATGGCTGCTGCTGTCCACCACACTGTGGCCAGAGTCCTTGGCTGGCTCCAGAAGCTGCTCCCTCCCCACTCCCCAGAGGGACCCTTCCCCAGGTCTTAGATCTGCACGGGTATCTGGGCGTTTGAACAAATACAAGTCTGGGTGACGGTTCAAGTCTATATCGCCTTCCTGCGAGTGGACCAACAGGAACAGCATCTCAGGGCCCAGGACACCCAATAGGTCACATTCGCACAGTAGAAATTGCTGCTACAGCAGCAGGGTGCCTCCCCAGCGCGGCTCGCTCACTGGAGATGGCACTTTCCCACTGGTTTATCTCTGGATTAGTTTGAGTTTGCTCTGTCCTCCTGATTTGATCTTTTCAGCTGCGACAAGGCCTCAGAGTCTGCAGGAACCACATGGCGCTGCTCCCCGCGTTCAGTGTTCAGCAGGATGGGACAGGCGCCCAACACCTCCCCAGAGCCCGGCCAGAGTCAGAGACTGGCTGGCAGGGACCGACCTCAGAGATCACTGGTCAGCCCTCTTGTTTCACAGGGGACGCAAACCAGGTCACGAAAAGAAATGTGATCCACCTAGAGTTAATGACAACTTTGGACTAGAAGCTGGGCCTGTGACTTCCGAGGACAGAGCTGTTTGCGTGTGGCCACACTGTCCCTGTTGACTTCTCTTTCCAGCAGACGGTCCTTCCCAAGCTCAGTCGAGCCTCGTGGGTATTTTGTTAGTTTTGGGTGGAGTGGAATGAAGCAGCAGTGCCTGGACTCCTGGACACGTTCCTGCCTATTTTTGGAGGTTCTCTCTCCTGCCATGAGTTCTCTGTTCTATTCCTCCTTCTTTCTCTTTTGGGGGCTTTGTAGCTCTCTTCCCCATTCTTCTCTGCATTGCCAGCTCTGCCTCTGTCTTTATCTGACAGCAAGAGAATTCTCCCTTCCACTCTCTCTGTCCTCTCTTAACACCCTCTGGCTCGCCTCGGAAGAGGAACCGTTTCTGTTTCTCCCCAGATGACAGCGACACATCCTCAGATAGCTCGGACAGCTCCAGCAGCTCACCTCTCGCCCACCAGGTAACGGACAGGCCTAGTGACCTCAGCCTTCCATATCCGGGGTCCCTGCTGCAAAACTCTGAGAACTCAGGCTACCCCAGCCGTGGAGGTGGGAGCAAGAAGGGAGGGCTTCTTGAGGCGTTGTGCATCCTTAGGTGAGGGTGGCCAGGCTTCCACCCACAGCCCCAAATCCGCACAGATCGTCAAGGCAAAGTGGGTCTGAGCGGATTATGAAAATGAAGGTGCTAAGAGGAAACCCTCCCCTCCCCCTCCCCCAGTCACTGGGCCAAAATCTGCTCTGAGTCCTGACCTGGCTTGTGTTGAGTCCCTGTATCTTACCTTCCCATCTCCTCCACCTGCTCATCCGTAAGCCCATTCCCTGCAGACAGGTGAACAAAGTCACCGGCAGTCTTCCTTATTGCCCCAGACTCTTTTACGCACAGCCACCTGGACCCAGGCCCTTCCCGCCAAGCCGTGGGCGAGCCTCTGTGGGTGAGAGTGCAGTCCTGGGGTCTCTCCTCCTCCACACGAGGTAGGGGTTTTGACCCACCCATCTCTGCTTTTCTCCTAAGGCCGCCAAGGACGTGAACTACACGCAAGTGGTCTTTTCGACCCCGGCGGGAGTGAAAACTGAGTCTGCCCTGGACTATGAGAACATAAAGGAAGGCACAGATTATGTCAATGTCAATCCAAAAAGCCACACGCCCAATTTCTGGACTTTTGTGAATCCTGCTGTTTCTGAGCCGGTGGAATACACTCAAGTGGCCATGTGACTTCTAGATTTTTTAATGGGGTAAAATTCTCTATGCATTCTTACACTTAATTTTTAGGGAAATGCTTTTTATCTCCCTTAAACAAGGGATGGACCAAAAAAAAAAAAAAAAAAAATAGGCCTATGCCCCAGCAAAGATTCAGATCAGATGTCGGGAAGAACTTCCAGGTAAGGCAGTAGAGTCCATTAATAGAGAAAGGAGTGAAGTCTCTCCCCATGGAAACATTTTTAAAAGTTTTAATCAGCTGTAATAGAGTTCTGTTTGGCAGTCTTATGATTAAATGATGTCTCTTTGAGCTCTTTAATTATTGGCAATGAACAACTTCCTTAAAAGTTCTAAATAGAATTGCAACCACCAGTTCCTCCCTTTCTCTTGCCTAACCCTGCAGTTGTCCCTTTTTGCAGTGATGTGTTTTGCCGAGTAACCCAGCTCTGCCCTCAGAACTTTCAATAGTCCATTTAAAAGTCCTGCTGTCAATCAACCTTTGAATTTGCTTATAATGACTGTGTTTCTTGTGAGCAAAAGGTGGCAGGTAGAATCCTGGTAAATGTAAACCAGCATCGCAATCTGTTATTCCAAGAAAAATCTTCCAAAACTCAATGCAATAAAATTCAATATCCTTTCCCGGTGTATAACAAAAACCAATTTGGAGTACAAGGACACTTTCCTAACTTGATTAAGAATACTTATCTCAAACAAGCAGAGTACATGATATTTAATTGTGAGGTCCTAGACACAGTCCTATGAAGTCAGAAACAAAGTAAGAATGTCCATAAGCCTGCCATGTCCTTTATTACCTAACATAGTTCTGGAAGTTCTAATCAGTGCAATAAAACAGTTAACAAAAATAAGAGCTATAACTTTTGGAAAAGAGGATAAATTTGTCATTGTTTGCAGATATCCTAGCCCTAGAAAACCACAGAGAATTACCTTAAAATGCTTTAAAATCGATAACACACAGTAACCAGTGTCTAGAGAAATATATATTTTTTCAACAGCTAATTAAGACATGAAATGAAAACATATGTGTTCACAAGAGCTAAATGAACATGCCACCAAAATTGAAACTGTGGGCATATGCTTAGCCAAATTCAACCTGGCTTGCAGGCCTTTGCTCGAGATTTAGTGACTGCTCCATCTGCTGGCTGGGAGTGAACTTCCTGGCTCCAGCGCTGAGAGCATGGACAGACTTTCCTCTTTGTTCCTCTCACCCAGGATGATCTAAAGGGCTGCTTCTGGTTTGGGTTTCTGGGGCTGGAAAATTTTGCTGGTCTGTTTGTCCCTTCACCTTTTAGCTTCTGTTGCTGCTCCTCTCCTTGGAAAGATTTGCATAATGGACAACAAGAGAGTCTATTGATTAGAGAGGCAGAATGAATGAGGAATAAACACCAACAATAATAACAACATTGTCCTTGCATCAAGAAATGAACCTCTACTTCTTATTGATCTCTTTCAAAAAGGAAAAAAAAAAAAAAGACCAGGTGTGGTGGCTCACACCTGTAATCCTAGCACTCTGGGAAGCAGAGGCGGGAGGATTGCTTGAGGTCGAGAGTTCGAGACCAGCCTGAGCAAGAGTGAGACCGCCCCCCCACCTCCGTGTCTACTAAAAATGAAAAAAAAATTAGTCGGGCGTGGTGGCACACACCTGTAGTCCCAGCTACTTGGGAGGCTGAGGCAGGAGGATCATTTGAGCCCAGGAGTTTGAAGTCGCTGTGAACTAGGCTGATGCCACGGCACTCTAGCCCAGGTGACAGAGCAAGACTCTATCTCAAAAATAAAATAAAACTAAAAAAATAAATAAAAAGAAAAAAATTCAAGAATATGCTGCAAAAGTTGAGACAAGTTACAGTGCACCCAAGAGAGACTGTGCAGGGACACCCCCAAGACTGTTTCAACTCCAGGAGACCGGATGACTAGGGTGACACAGATAGGATGCCTGCTTTCCACAGAACTCTGGGACAGGCCCTGGTGGGGTGGAAACAGATATAAAAAGAAGACTTGATTATCTGGGATTATCAGGGTGGGGTCAAGGCATCTAAGTCCTACTTGTGGGGGCAGGAAAGAGCCAGAGAACGTGTAGAAAACAACATGTAGCAGAGGGAATTAATGCAGAGCAATGAAAGCAAAGCCTATCAATGTTTAGATCTGGGGGGAAAATGTTAAGATCAGATGGACTTAATTAGAGAAACATCCCAGAGAGAGGTGATTTGTGACCTCAGTTTAGAAAGAAGGGTAGAAAATCAACTGATGAAAGAAAAGGCAGAAAGAACAGGAACAGGCCTGGCACAGTGCAGGCGGCCTGAGCCGAACCGCCTGGAGAAATGCCTGTGTCTGGCTCAGAGGCTGCCGTGATGCTCTGGAGCAGGGAGTGGATGTCAGACGGACCAGAGACCAGAGGCTGTAGAATAACTGTAGACAATCTGATTAAGGTCTGTAGTGAACTCTGCTTAAAAAATATGACATTTTATAGCAAATATATCATAGAGCTTAACATTAGCATCCACCCCGATTGCTTATAAGGTGCAGGCGTTCTTGGAGAGTGCTGTTTAAGAGCAGAGTTGAGGCCGGGCACAGTGGCTCACACCTGTAATCCTAGCACTCTGGGAGGCTAAGGCAGGAGGATGGCTTAAGGTCAGGAGTTCGAGACCAGCCTGAGCAAGAGCAAGACCCCATCTCTACTAAAAACAGAAAGCTTAGCCAGGCATTGTGGCACATGCCTATAGTCCCAGCTACTTAGGAGGCTGATGCAGGAGGATCACTTGAGCCCAGGAGTTTGAGGTTGCACTGAGCTGTGATCACACCACTGCACTCTAGTCCAGGCAACACAGTAAGACTCTGTCTCCAAAACAAAAACAACAACAAATAAATACATAAAAGAGTAGAGTTGAAAATGTGACTCCACCAAGTGACTTACAGAGTTTTGAACTTTGGTGACTCTTTGGATGCCCTAATACATAAGGAAGAAGGCTGATTTCACCTCCTAAGGAGTTTGAGCCAATAAGCTGATGACTAGAGCCAGCTAACAATTTGAACTAATCCTTAAAGTCATTGCAAGCCATGTCGCTAGAAATAAAATGGCCTTTTGTTTGTGATATTTCTGTGAGCTTGGAGGGTCGACTGTCTAAATCTGTACAAATAGTCACCTGTGTGAGTAATCACCCTTTGAGGAACATAGTGTTCAGTTCAAAGAAGTCACATTCTCCCATGTTATATGTCATTGGCACCTCCAGGGAACAGTCATGCTGCTGTAGGCGGGGTTCCTGCACAGGTGGGGACTGGATAAAAATCTCTCCAAAATTATCTGATAATAAAATACAAAGATACTGATTTGCTATTGGCAACCTGTAGATGGTTGGTTACATGCCAACAATGAACTGGGAATATAAACCACAGTAGACCACAGTAAATGTGACCTGTTTCCAGTGAATTCTTATTCTAAAGGAGCAAGCATCCCAATGCCCGCATGGGAACTGCAGCAAAGTTCCATGAGTACCTTGTTAGCCAACCAGACCTACTAGGGTGAGGAGGTATTTTATGCTCACTATCAGTGGGTTTGTTTGCTCCTGGGATCAGGACATATTGCTGGGCTCAGAGGGGCCCTTAAGAGGCCTCCTAACTCATGCCCCCGGCCTCTAAAGCAGAACAGGGTAAAGTAACTCCAGCTTATGTGGTTTTTTGAAGTCCCGCTAGCTCCCTTGAACACTCACCCATGTGTCTCACTGCCCTGCAGGCAGGAATTTCCATGCTCAGTCGCTCACCCTGCAGTGGAAGCCTCTTGTTCTTTGCCCTTGCCAAATACATCCTCCATGGGCTTAGAGAGAAGGAAGCATATGTCCGGGTATCTCAGGGGGGCTGGGGCAAATGACAGGTCAAGGCTCTTCAGAACTTTAGGAGAAGTTCACTATGGCATTCAGGCTGAGAGGCTGGGTGACTTTTCCAGCCTGCCTCTGTGGGTCATAATTGCTTCGTACCTACAGGAGAAGTGAAGCTTGCACACTGGATCCAAGCAATATTTGGCTGGAGAAGGGGCCTCGTTCGGATTCTTAGGAAAGAGCTGCCCAACCCAGCGCCCACCCCAGCCCAGGCTCACTTTCAGCTCCACACTGCCACCTTGTGGCTCCAGGGCAGACTCCAAGACTCTGTCTTTCCCACTAAGCCTGGGCAGGGGCTCCTAGGAGGTCATCTTGTTCACCCCCTCACCCCTTCATTCAAGAAGATCACATTTTAGGCCGGGCGCGGTGGCTCACGCCTGTAATCCTAGCTCTCTGGGAGGCCGAGGCGGGCGGATTGTTTGAGCTCAGGAGTTCGAAACCAGCCTGAGCAAGAGCGAGACCCCGTCTCTACTAAAATTAGAAAGAAATTAATTGGACAACTAAAAATATATAGAAAAAATTAGCTGGGCATGGTGGTGCATGCCTGTAGTCCCAGCTACTCGGGAGGCTGAGGCAGTAGGATCACTTGAGCCCAGGAGTCTGAGGTTGCTGTGAGCTAGGATGATGCCACAGCATTCACTCTAGCCCGGGCAACACAGTGAGACTCTGTCTCAAAAAAAAAAAAAAAAAAAAAAAAGAAGATCACATTTTAATTTTATCTTGCACATCCCATTATCGTTGTCCCTAGAAAATGAAGATGCTCAGAAATATCTTCAATATTAAAGACTTTTATTGGTCAATTTCAACTATGTCTCTGGATTCCTGCCCCAGGAGTGCACTGCTACAGCCTGGGCTGGATGAGTAGCTCCTGGAGAGATAAAAGACCTATTTATCTACAAAACACAGACATAGTCATCTAGGAAACTACTGGCCTATATTAAACAACATGAAAAGCCATTCTGAGAAATCCCCGCTGATTCCCCCCTCCTGCCATCCTCTGCCCTGCCTGCCCCTCACCTCCTGCTCCTACTTGGGCTTTACGGGACTAAAGCACTGTATTGCACAGTCCACAGGACGGCAGAAACACTCTACATGGGTGCCCAGCCCAGAGTCAGCATCGTCCGGTTTCTCCCGGGTTAGCTGTTGGAAATGGGACTGACCCCAGAGAGCACACGGCCTCCCTCTTGCTCCCACAGGGGGAGGATAACGAGGAGGAACAGGGCGAGGCCCCAGGTTCTACCTGGCCCTGCAGTGTCTTTCGGCCTTGCAGGAGGATTCAGCTTCACAGGACCGAGGACGAAAGTGGCCAGTATGGCCACGATGGGACCCACAGTCACCAAAATTCAGTCAAGGGGTATAAACATCATTGTCGTGAAAATCCAACAATTCTTCTAGAGCTGTTTCTCTACTGTAACACCATTTCCAGTCCTGCAAAGTCATGAGAGGTTAGATCCTGGAAAGACCTTAGACATCATCTCACCTGTTCTACAGGTGAGGAGACTGAGGCCAGGAGAGGGGTGGTGACTCACCCAGGGTCGTACAGATACCCGAATGCAGAACTGAGATTCAAATCCTGGGCTCCTGGCTCGACCACAGCATCCACACAATCATGTAAAGTCTGAAGAGCCTCAAGGACGTCCAGAGCCACGATCGTGTCACCCTTTCTCAAAGGATGTCTCTTCTGGGAAGCCCCAGAACAGTCTGGGTCCCTTGGAGGGTGGGCAACCTGTCCCTGCTGCCTCTGAGGTTTATTCCTGCTCGTAATTTTATTGTGACCATTTTCATCTCCTCCTTCCCTCCCTCTTTCTTCCCACCCTCACCCCCAGTGGACCACACCACTGAGGACATACAAGACTTCCTGTCACCCAGCCTGTAATGGGGGGCAGTATGGGGAGCAGAGGGACCGGCCACTGCAGAGTTCCCACTACGTCCTGCATCTCCACTAGGCCACCCAGCTCCCTCAGGAGACAGGTGGGCACAGCAGGTGAAGCCCCACACACCCATCCCCTTTTCTTCATTAAACAATCCTCTCTCTACAAAAGAGGAAAAAATCCAGGACCCAAATGGGGTCCTCCTCACAGTTTTTCATTTCTCCCCTTTCCTGGTCAAGCTAGTCAGGTTAGAAAGTGGACAGGTAGCCAATGCACGAGACCAGCCTCTGAGTTCCTGCCACCTGTGGAACCTCAGGCAGCTCCGTCCTAGCCCTGCCCAGACCTGGGGCACCACATCCTCCACCCAAGGTGCTCATAGACACCCTGTGAGTGTAGAGGGACCAGGGAGGTGGGCAGTTTGATTGTCCCTGACTCCCAGCATGGAGACTGGGAGCCCATGAGGGCAGCCCTTACACTAGGGGCAGTGACACTGGGCAAGGGCAGCCATTCTGGCCTCTTCACTCTGCCTCGGACTGGACCCCCTTCACTGCAATCCTGACCCTCCCAGCTCTACGCCCAGTGCCTGGGGTGGGCAGAGACCTACCACTAGTCCTGGGGGCACTACCAGACTCCATGGAGTCTTCCCTAAAAGATGCTGGTCTCGGTGGTGGCTTCTCCATCCACCTGTTCCAAGTCCCTCAGTGACTCCGTGGGCCTGGGCGTCCCACTGAGGCTGAGGTTGAGGGTGGGCGGGCAGCCGGGGCGGGTCAGCAGCGTGGTGCGGCGGCTCGACAGGCTGCCGTTGGAGAGCTGCCGGCGCATCCGTGGCTGGGGACCCCTGCAGCAGGCAAGATGGCGCAGGGGGCGCGGCAACAGGTGGCTGTTGAAGCCCATGTAGATCCAGGGGTTGCAGCAGCTGCTGAGGTTGCCCAAAAGCATGGAGATGGTGAAAGCCACATTGGTGGAATCTACCAAGACAGAAGCATGAGGAGCCTTAGAATGACAGCTCAAAGGGCCCTGGGAGGGAGTCCAAGCCTCCCTGGACAGATGGGGAAACTGAGTCCCAGGGAGGAGAAGGAAGTCACCTGGGGTTCTATAATTAGAGATGAGCACAGCTAGGACTTGAACCTGGGACTCCTGACTCCATAATCTTCCTTCACTGATTATTTTTGGTTTTCATTTTGTAACTGCAGGTGAGGGTAGGGACTGAGGTTTGCTTCCAGTTGGATTGAGAAGGTTGAACACTGCCGGGGGTAGGACCAGCCCAAATAGGAGAAACTGTCTTTGTTCCAAAATGTAGACCTTGAATCCCCTAATGGATGTATGCCTAGGATGATACAACTTCCACAAAACATGCAGGGAAAACAACCAAGCTCAGGCCTCTTCCACGCCCGTCCCCACTTAGGTCGTAGATCGTGGATTCACATCACCTTCTGGATTCTGTCTTCCTCCAGCCCTCGGGGCAGTGCCACTCACTCGGACAGTCACTCATTGAATGTGGGCCTGCTCTGCCAGGCCCTGTGCAGGGGACCTGGCGAGGCAATTGGCAGAGCCTGACTGCCCCATGGGTACCTGGGCCGTCATCGCCAACTGCAGCAGAGGGGGCAGCTGCTAGGAACAGGGCACCCAAGCATCCCACCGCAGACAGCACCTGCTCTGTGTTCTCAGACTACACTCAGGGAATGCACCTTCCTGCAGGGAGAAACTAATTTCTCTCTTGAGCAGTCAAGATGTGAGCATGCAAAGACATTGGTAAGATTCCTTCCAGACACGATATTCTCTCTAAAGACTAAACGAAACTCCTCATGCCAACAGGAAAGCTGCTGCGTGGGCCCTGGCCTCCTGTGGATCCACCATGGTTACAGTGGTGGCAGAGATGTGTGCTGAGCTATCTTGCTTTACAGTGGACGTTGCAGAGTCACTGAAAGCAATGTCAGAGCTGGAAGGAAACTTAGGGGTAAACTTTCCAATTTTCATGACACAGTGAATAAGAACTTCCACTGGAACTGAGGTCTTCCAGCTCTAAGGCAGAGATCCTGCACCCCACTGCAGCTTCAGTCAGCAAATCAAAGGCAAAGCTCAAGTGCCTATGCTGTAAGGCACCGTGAAGGCTTCAGAAACACCGGTTCCTTCTGTACGTGTTTCATGGTTGTGTTCACAGGTGTGGCCACTCATGGCCCAAGAGAAAGGAAGACACAGGGTAAGAACATTTGCTGGAAGGTTCGGGTCATAGGGAAGGAAGCTGGAGGCATCTGGGCCGGGATGGACAGGTCTAGGGCACAGACGTGAGGGCGAGGGGGGAGCCCCTGCAAGTGGAGGGGGACCAGCCCCAACAACAAACTCAGCCTCCTTCAGTTTCGCCTGGGTTCTGGTCTGCTTCCCAGTTAACATATAAGCATGAGCTACAAAAGGCTTCGGAAGTCGCTTTGGCTGGGGGGATGCTATTCGTCCTGTCCGCTCCATCAATGGAGTGTCCAGGGTAAGCCAGGAACACAGGATTTCCACAAGTGCCTTCACTTAGGAAGTGTCTGTTTGTTCCGGTCCAGCTGAGCCAGGCCCAGCACAGGGGCTGGAGATGGGCCACAGGGGAAGTACCAGAGTCAGCAGAGGCCCCGCTTCCCAGAACTCGAGAGCCACCAGTCTGGGCGGCAGCCACTGCATCCTGGCAGAAACTCGGCCGACAGCCAGGGGCAGGGGCAGGGGCAGGGTCAAGGAGCCTGGCAGCCTCTGACCATAGACTCAGGGCCTGGGGCTGGGGCCAGCATGCCGTGGAGGGGAACTGGAAAGTCAATTTAAGGTAATGAATCTCAGCCCAAAGGGCTTTCGTAGTTCTGAGAGGGCACATTGTCTGTAAGAGAACACTTGGTCCTGCACACCTTGCTCAGAAGGCCTTTGGTACATGGTCTACACTTACACTCACTCTACACAGGTGACAGATGAGGTGTGGAGGGACAGGCTCATCATAACGGTGGACACCGCAGGTGAGCGAGAAAGTCTGGCTGAGTGGCAGGATCCTCATCTTTTCGTCGGCCCCTCAATAAAGGTGGAAAAAAGCATCTCACCCCTGGTGCCACTGTCTAAGCTGCAATTGTCGGGAGTAAAGCCATGACATGGATGAAGTTTGGCCCACAAAGACCTGAATTCAAGTCCTAGCTCCGTGTCTTAGCAGCAGTGGCATTTCAGACCAGTTATTTTACCTCTCCGAGCCTCGAGTTACTCAGATGTAAAATAGAGAAAGCCATCCCTCAGTAGCATGAGGACGGAATGTGCTTGGCACTAGGAAACCCTCCTTCCTTCTATTCTGTGCTTCCCCGGAGCAGGGAGGTCCCCACAGTTGCTTAGAATTAATATCCTCATTATGATGACGCCACTGCATTCTAGCCCGGGCAACAGAAGAAGACCCTATCTCCCAAAAATTAAATTAAATTGAAAAGAATTAATATGCTTATTGCTTAAAGGATAATTTGCATATAGCCTCTTATCCAGACTGATGTTAAAAGGCTGGTTAAGAAGGCATACAAGGGAACCATATGGTTTGGTATTATTTTTGCACTTCTCTTCCATGGTTATGTTAAATTCCCGAATAGCCTTTCCCTATTTCATCTCTGCAGAAAAGCAAAGCATTTGGCTTGAGCAGGTCCTGGGATGAGCAAAATGAGATTAGAAATGAAAAACACAAGAGAAAGGGACAAGTCCCTAAGGGCTGGGAGGAAGTGGTAGCCTGGGTCTGCTGGTCAGTGAACTCTCAGGAAGCTTCTAGTGGGACCTGCGCACAGGCCTCCCTAGGGCAGTTGCATGCTGCACCCATCATACTTCCTGAGCTGTGCACATGGTGAGATGCACTGCAGGGCACCCAGACAGGTCGACATGCACGAGTCCGCACGCCCCATTCCTGCTTAGGGGCAGGAGCAGGTGTCTTTGAACACCACTCTCCCTCACTTAGGCTACCCAGACACAGCCTGTGCCTTCCAGAACAAGCTCACCTCCAGATGATGGCAGGACCATCAGGCACTGTCTGAAGCTCAGGAAGCCAGAAAATGACAATAGCAAGGTCTCCTATATGCCAGCTGGAACACAGTCCTCTTGGAGGGTCCCATTTTGTTTTACCACGTAGGAGGAAAGCCTCCCTCTGTTTGGAACCACTTTCAGATCCAGGGTTAGGAGTGGGGTTGGGGAAAAAGACAAGAAGACAGACAGCCTGGGTTCTACTCTCCACTTTGTCACTCCCTAGCTGTGTGGCCTGGGGCAAGCCATGGCTCCTCTCTGAGCCTCTGTTTCCTCATAAGCAAAATGAAGGAGTTGAACTTGAAATCTCAGGGCTGTCATGTGCCAATCCTAATTAATTGGAAGTTGCTGTTGAGAAGGAGCTCAAAGTCATGTCCAGGTGCAAGAGGGAAGAATGCCGAGCAAGACGGTTCGCAGGCCATGGATTGCCTCCCGGACCGGATCATTCAAAAATCCCTCTCAGCTCTATCATTGTACGATTCCGAAGCCCATCTAGCAAACTGGCAGTTGATTGACCAAATCTGCCAACAGCCATATTTCACTCATGCCACGTAGTATTTTAGGACTGTTAAATTAGTTACCAATATTTAAAAACCAGGAAATTTCACATAAAAGAAACTCACGTGGCATCTGTAGGCTGGGTGGGAGCTGTAGCTGCCCCTTTTCACGTGGAACAGGCACCGGCTTCCTTCATGCTTCACCGGTTTGTCACCTGCCTGGCCCTGGGAGGCACCGTGACCTGCCCTAACCCTCCTCTTTCCCACCTCCCACCTTTCCCACCCTTTCCCACTGCCCCCCACAGACCCCACACTTGCCTTCGTCAGGGGCGTTCTCGTCCCACACAGACCACATCTGGACACTGAAGAAGGGTGCCCAGCAAGCGATGTAGGCCAGCACGATGACAAAGGTCATCTTCACGGTTCGGATCTTGGCCCGTGAGATGGTGCTGGTGCTGCTAACCCGGGATGGCAGCCCCTGAGTGGCCACCGCTGGAGCAGAAGGTGAGGGCCTATCGCAAGTCCTCCAGCCCCCTCCTTCTGCCCGCCAGGCCTTTGTCTTGACTTTCAGGTTTTTACAGATTTCGTGGCAGATGAGGCTGTAGCAGGCCGTGAGCATGGCCACAGGCAGGACAAAGATGGCCAGGGTGGTCCAGGTGAGGTAGGCACGCAGCCCCCAGGGGAAGCGGAAGTCTGCCCAGCAGTCCAGCACCCCCGAGCCCTGGATCACCTCCCGCAAAGAAAAAATGAAGACTTGAGGGAGGCTGAGGACGGCGGCCAGCAGCCAGGGAGCAGCGATGAGGCGGTAGGTGGACTGGCCGGGCTGCTGGAGGCTGCGCAGGGGGTGACAGACAGCCAGGTAGCGGTCCAGCGTCATGGCCAGCAGCATGTAGGTGGAGGCGAACATGCTGAGCACCTGCAGGTACTTGACGGCCCGGCAGAGGAGGTCGGGGCCCTGGAAGCGGTAGGTGATGTCCCACAGCAGCTGGGGCAGCACTTGGAAGAGCGCCACCGCCAGGTCGGTCAGGGCAAGGTGCAGCAGAAACAGGTGCATGCGGGAGCGCTTGCGGCCCGGCTGGCCCAAGGTCAGCAGCACGGCCAGGTTGCCCCCCGTGGCCAGCACCAGGACAGTGGCCAGGACTCCGATCTCCACCTTGGCCAGCTCCTCATCCCTGCCCAGCCAGGGTGTTGTGGCGTTGGGCGCAGAGAGGGTGCCCTGGGGGGTGGGGCTGGCAGCCCAAGGAAGCCCAGAATCCATGGCCAAGGTTGCTGAGAGGGAAGAGGGAGGAGGGGTGGAGGGTGTGGGTGCGAGTGGAGAGGTTTGATGGATACAACGGAGTGGCAGGGAAAGGTTTAAGGCGAAGAGAGGAGAAAGGTGGGAATGACCGGGAAGGCTTGAAAACAGGTGGAAATAGTTCGGAGGACAGGGATGGAGAATGAGATAAGGAAAGAGAAAATGCAGCTGAGGTCGCGGATCCCGGCGCAGGGAAGGGGACCCAGGAGAGAAGAGAGGGAGGGGCAGGGAGACAGGGTATCAGAACGGGAAGAACGGGGATCCTGGCGCAGGGAAGGGGACCCAGGAGAGAAGAGAGGGAGGGGCGGGGAGACAGGGTATCAGAACGGGAAGAACGGCCGAGGCCGTGCCGAGTGCGGCTTGTGGAAGGGAAAGGAGGCTGGGGGAGCTGCCACCGCTCCCAAATCCACCCCAAGTCCACTTTCTCCAAACTTTTCTGGTAGCGGAGAGCAGATGCCCTTCAGCCTGCGGTCCGGGGCCATCGACGTCGCCCTCAGGGCTGGAAGCCCCAGCCAAGTCCCCAGGCTCCGACGCTGGGGCAGCGCGGGCGGGAGCGCAGCGGATTTTATGCGCTTCCAGCCGAGCCCAGCGGCGGGGCTGGCCAGTTGGCTCCTGCAGAGGAGGGCGGAGTGACAGCCACAGCACCCACCGGGCAGGAGCGCCGAGAGGCCGGCTGGGGGAGGGAGGGCAGAGGAGGGAGGTCGGACAGAGGGGGCGGTGGATCAGGGACGGGGAGCGAGAGAAGCGGGCGCCGCCAGCAAGCGCTCACCAGCCAGCAGGACCCACCGACCCGCAGACAGACAGACAAATAAACTCTGCGCTCTCACCCTGGAACCCTCGGACTGTCTCTCCAGACACGTGCACACCGGGGGATGGGGGAGGGCGGGGAGAGGCGGTCACTCTTCCCACCCACGCAGGGACACGACAGCTCTGCCCCAGGCTCCCCGTTAGCCAACCGAGCATCCAAAATCTTCAGGGGTGGCCGAGTGGGCGAGGGGCTCCAGTGCGGGACTTGGAGCCATAGGGGGAGGAAGGAAAAGTGAGGACGTTTGTGGAGAGGGGGAATGGTGGTGAGGAGGAGTGAGGTGGGGAGTGGACGGAGCTAGACCTGGGAATCCTGGCGCACTCGATGCGAGGAGAGGACAGGAGAAATTCCCAGAATTTTCGTCTCCAAGGGAAGTCTTAATTACTGGCCTCACCTGCATGCTTTGCATTCGATAGGTGCTTCTGATACTGTAAACACAGTTAACCACCCTGAGAGGTCAACACAGGGGCCCAGAGAAGTGATGGGACTTGCTCTAGAAGATTAGAAAACTAGTAAACAGCAGAGGCAGGTCTAGAACCAGCCCGGTGTGCTTTTCTGATAGCCGAGCGCCGGGATTACATTAGGCGTTAACCAGCTTGACTAACATCCGCTGCGTGAAGGGCACCGGTGCTGAGCTTAAAAATGAAAATGAAACAGCACCCGGCCCAGAGAAAGCTCGGACCTCAGTAGAGAAGGTCCTGTATGGTACCGGTTGTGGAATTCACCTTATCTTCGGCACATACACAAGGTGGATTACTGGGACCCTCCTGGGGGCAGATTGGACGTTCATTAGGAGAGACAATTAAATGGTCCAAGACGCTGAGAGCAGGGTCTGCAATGGCAGGGAAGTCCTTTTGTCTTGCCTTTTCATCAAACCAGACTCGCCTTTACAATGCTACCCACCCACACATCTAGTTAGCATCATTTCTTGAAGCTTCCACCTCCTAACAGCCTGCAAATCCATCTCCTTCATTTCATCCCACTTAACATTTCTCACCTGATAGGTGGTAGCATCCTCCTGTGTGCTCTGCAACCCAAGCTGCCACCTCCTCAAGGACTTTGCTCAATCATTAAGTCTCCCTACCAGATCATTTCTATCTATATGCAAACGAGCTCTAGTATTATTCATTTAAAAAAAATTGTAACCCTCCTGAGCCACTATACCCCCACCTCCAGCTGTTGCAGTCCCTTCCACTTCCCAGCGAAGCTTCTCTTCCTCCAAATCATTCATC